ATGCACACATTTTTTCCAGGTAACTTGGAATATCATGTTTCCGACTGATTGACTGACCAAATGATTCCTAGTGGCAGCCGCATGTCTTGGATGTTGCATTTGTTTCAGTTCGTCTTTGTGTGCCGATTTCTGTCTTTTGTCGATTTGCTTGTGAGGTATGTTACTTTTTGGGTTGAGAGGTCATGACCTATTGACACAACTCATTTCAAAACCCTGTAGATAAGTGGTTTACCTGAGGACGTGAGGTGAGGATGGGGGGGGGGGGGGGGGAACATCCTACCTAAAATAGCACAAGGAAGTTTCCTAGAGGCATCAAGCAATTCTGATACTCGTCATCATCATATGCCCTGCCAACTGGCGTAGGCAATTATGCGTCTACTCAGATCCTGATCGCTGGTTGCCAGCTCTCTGGATGCTATCCCTCCATGCCATCGTTTCAACTCTCCTGCATAATCTCTCTTGGTCTGCCTCTACCCCTTTTTTTCACTGATCTCTCCAGGTGTCACGAAATTTTACAAAGTCTCTCTTTTCAAAACGTGGCTAAACAGTGTTTGTCTCTTTCTTGTTGATTTTGACACTATACTAATATATTTCTAGAGTTTAATTCGAAGTGTCGATTGGCAGCTTTCCGTCTTTCCAGACGATAGTTGTATAATGCGCTATGAGGAGGCATTCACTCACAACCCATGGCGAAGGCGAGTATGACTAGCAAGACCCACCCCCGTTAAAAAAAAAAAAAAGTCAAGTATGTGTGATAGGTTACCGTCTCTGTGAAGGGTCAGTCAAATGCGTATTGCCTCCGCCTCCTGTCTCAACATTCTATAGTGATTTAGTTGGTTTGATTTTGTCTCCGTGTGGCGTGACACTGCTCACTGAACCCCATATGTGTATACTCAGTGTTCCACGATCATTGTCTTATTTCCTTTTTTTTCTGTCTTTCTTCTCCAAACCTTGTCTGTCGCACTCCCAGGGGAGGTGTAGAAAATTGTAACTAGCACGCATGCTGGTCACATGTTGAAGTCCCAGCTTGTTGAGAGAGAGAGAGAGAGAGAGAGAGAGAGAGAGAGAGAGAGAGAGAGAGAGAGAGAGAGAGAGAGAGAGGAGAGAGAGAAGAAAAGTAGACCAAGTGAACTGTGAGATCGACCAAGTCTAAGTCTTTAAATTTAAAGCAATCGGTTTGATAATGGAAACTTCACAACTGAAATTCTGAGTGGTTAACGAAAATGTTCTTGAAAATGATTCCTTTGTGTGGGGATTTGATCCCTGTGTGTAGGTTTGATTCCTGTGTGTGTTGATCCCTGTTCGAGGATCTTATCCCTGTGTGTAGGTTTGATCCCTGTGTGTGGATTTGATCGCTGTGTGTAGGTTTGATTCCTGTGTGTGTTGATCCCTGTTCGAGGATCTTATCCCTGTGTGTAGGTTTGATCCCTGTGTGTGGATTTGATCGCTGTGTGTAGGTTTGATTCCTGTGTGTGTTGATCCCTTGCGGGGATCTTATAATTACTACCTATGTGGCGGTTTGCTCGGATACCCATGCTAAAGCTCTAGAAGCAGCGGCTATTTCCATTGTCATGCTTGACGTGGTTGTCTGGTAAGAGCCGCTGTCCTCATGTCTTGTTTTCCCCTTTCTTTGCGCTGTGTATGCCCATGCTGACCTTGATCCGCGCTTCACAGATCCATCTGTGTAGATGATGGTATCTTCTGGGTCTGAATGCTGATCTATCAGTTCCCTTACTTCTGTGTCTACGGCCGCAGGAATTTGATCCCTGCAGTACCTTCCTTAGAGATGCCATGCATGTCTACTGGTGTATTCGTCCATTCTTTTCCGTGACTGATCACGTCTAGGTCACATACCTGCTGAATTAGGTCCACAGCCTTTGCCATCCAAGAGCAGCCTCTTTTGAGACGCGTTCCTTTTGTGTCGTGTATAGCTTTGTGTAATGGGTGGTTAACGTCTGCCGATACCCTCATGTAAGCCTTGACCTGTGCCACTTTGTATCTGCTAGTCATAGTCGGCAGACCCAGGACATAACGCATGGCGTTGCAGGAGGTTTCTTTTGTGGAGCCGAGTATGAGTCTCATGGCCTCATTCTGTACTCGGTCTAGTCTTTCAAGCTGGGTTCTGCTGACAGTGAGGAGGCCAAGACCATAGTCAATGACGCTAAGCACAAGCCCTTGATAGAGAAGGAAAAGTAGACGTTGTTCAATATCAGCTGCTGCTAGCACCTTGAGTGCTGTCCTGGCTCTAAGTAAGACGTTGTCTACGTGGCATTTGTATGACAAGCATCTGTCAAATGTCATGCCCAGGTATTTCATAGTGTCCGCTCTCTCGATGTCCACACCACAGATGCTTACGACTGGCGTTGGAGTACTAACGATGTGGGTATTCAGAGAGAACCATGTTAAGGAGGCTTTGGACGGGTTCACACGAGCTCTTGATTCCTGGCACCACTCACTAAGTCTGTCTAGTTCGTGTTGTAGTGTGGTTGTAATTTCCTGCCTGCTTTTACCTCGACGGTAAACAAGGATATCATCTGCATACGACCTTGTTCTGCCTAGGCGTTGTGATCCCTGTGTGTATGTTTGATTCCTGTGTGTGTTGATCCCTGCGCGGGGATCTTATCCTTTGGCGTAGATTTGATCCTGTATATAGGTTTGACCCCTGTGTGTATTTGATCCCTGTGTGTAGATTTCATCCCTGTTTAGGGGTTCAGGGACCCGATGTCGATTGAGTAAGGGGTGGAAAGGGGAAGTTGGGAGAGGGAGGGGATAGGGGAAGTATAGATCCACAGTATGTTAGGAAGCCTACCATACCAGTCTATGAATTAGGTGTGTGTTTGTGTTACCTTGAAAGTCGAACTGTATCTACATGAGATGCGAGGAATCATCAGTCAGATATACACATAAGCTAGACCAGTAAATGGGTATGCACGCAAAACTCAACTTCTGAAACAACACATAAGTTCATAAGTGGACGAACAACCAGACCGTTCAGCCTTTCTTTAGAGCCGATGATAGCAAAGAAGAAAAGGAAGGATGTGATAAGTATATAGACCATAAGAGAGCAGCTCTAATGGTAGTGGTAGAGGTCGCATGGATGATAGTGGTTTTAGTAATGGTGATGGTGGTGATAACGGTAGTTGCAACAGGTTTATAGTAAAGGTGATGGTGATGATAACGGTAGTTGCGACAGGTGTTATAGTAAAGGTGATGGTGGTGATAACAGTAGTTGCAACAGGTGTTATAGTAATGGTGATGTGTGGTGATAACGGTAGTTGCAACAGGTGTTATAGTAATGGTGATGTGTGGTGATAACGGTAGTTGCAACAGGTGTTATAGTAATGGTGATGTGTGGTGATAACGGTAAATGCAACAGGTGTTATAGTAAAGGTGATGTGTGGTGATAACGGTAGTTGCAACAGGTGTTATAGTAAAGGTGATGTGTGGTGATAACGGTAGTTGCAACAGGTGTTATAGTAATGGTGATGTGTGGTGATAGTGTCCGCTCTCTCGATGTCCACACCACAGATGCTTACGACTGGCGTTGGAGTACTAACGATGTGGGTATTCAGAGAGAACCATGTTAAGGAGGCTTTGGACGGGTTCACACGAGCTCTTGATTCCTGGCACCACTCACTAAGTCTGTCTAGTTCGTGTTGTAGTGTGGTTGTAATTTCCTGCCTGCTTTTACCTCGACGGTAAACAAGGATATCATCTGCATACGACCTTGTTCTGCCTAGGCGTTGTGATCCCTGTGTGTATGTTTGATTCCTGTGTGTGTTGATCCCTGCGCGGGGATCTTATCCTTTGGCGTAGATTTGATCCTGTATATAGGTTTGACCCCTGTGTGTATTTGATCCCTGTGTGTAGATTTCATCCCTGTTTAGGGGTTCAGGGACCCGATGTCGATTGAGTAAGGGGTGGAAAGGGGAAGTTGGGAGAGGGAGGGGATAGGGGAAGTATAGATCCACAGTATGTTAAGAAGCCTACCATACCAGTCTATGAATTAGGTGTGTGTTTGTGTTACCTTGAAAGTCGAACTGTATCTACATGAGATGCGAGGAATCATCAGTCAGATATACACATAAGCTAGACCAGTAAATGGGTATGCACGCAAAACTCAACTTCTGAAACAACACATAAGTTCATAAGTGGACGAACAACCAGACCGTTCAGCCTTTCTTTAGAGCCGATGATAGCAAAGAAGAAAAGGAAGGATGTGATAAGTATATAGACCATAAGAGAGCAGCTCTAATGGTAGTGGTAGAGGTCGCATGGATGATAGTGGTTTTAGTAATGGTGATGGTGGTGATAACGGTAGTTGCAACAGGTTTATAGTAAAGGTGATGGTGATGATAACGGTAGTTGCGACAGGTGTTATAGTAAAGGTGATGGTGGTGATAACAGTAGTTGCAACAGGTGTTATAGTAATGGTGATGTGTGGTGATAACGGTAGTTGCAACAGGTGTTATAGTAATGGTGATGTGTGGTGATAACGGTAGTTGCAACAGGTGTTATAGTAATGGTGATGTGTGGTGATAACGGTAAATGCAACAGGTGTTATAGTAAAGGTGATGTGTGGTGATAACGGTAGTTGCAACAGGTGTTATAGTAAAGGTGATGTGTGGTGATAACGGTAGTTGCAACAGGTGTTAGAGTAATGGTGGTTTCAATAGTTATTGATTTGATTTTAGTAGTGGTGATGACAGTAGCAGTATTTCTTGTCATAGTGGGGATGATGGTGGTCAATTTTTTGTAGAAGTTGTAGTAGTGGGAATGGTGATGCAGTATCAGTGGAAGCAGTATAAGTTGGAGCCGTATTAGTATCAGCTGCAGTCGTCATAGTGGTACTATGGCGGCACTTTTCCTGTTGGTAAATTAGCCCAACCCTCCGATGTGAATTGTAATTGATCTGCTGGCCAGGTAACATGAGTTTAAACATGATGACGGACGAAATACACCGGACATCGAATGATTCCTTCCTTAAAATGAAATTATCCTCAAGCAACAGTCAAGCTACAATCCCGACCTCGCTTTAGCCTCGTCATGCTGTTATCTCCGTTGCCAACTAGAAGATGGTTTGACGAAGAAGACGAGGAAGACGAAAGGTTGGCCAACTGTACAGTGTTGTGGTGCGCCGTCGTATCATCCGTGACGCTAAGTCGGAACGCTTTGGACATTCCAGAGATGGTAGAGCCTCGGAACCGACGAGTCTGTCTTCGCGGCAAACAGCAAAAGAAGAGAGTTTCCAGACATCGCTTGCGGAACCGCTGAGTGCTGAAGAAGTAGAGATAAAAGTTGACGGCGTGAGTGGAGTCGGACAACATGAAAGCCAACTGGTTGATGAAGAGGTACTTGGCGTGCTCTCCCGGGTTTTGTTTGTATGACCAGTAGGGCTGGATGGCGTAGAAGAGAGCCAGTGGTGTAATGAGGAGAACGTATGCGATGCAGACAACAACCAACATGATAGTGATTTGCCTCTGTTGTCGCGTAGTTTCTGCTACTTGAGAGGCCTTGCTTGTTAGTTCTCTCTGAAAATAATAAAAAAGTAATAAAAATAATGATAATAATGAGAATTATAGTGATTAAAGACAATGTTTGTTAATTAATATTATACAGAGTGGTTGATGTTGCTGATTCTGGGTGGTTAAGGGCCAGGTGATCTTCTCACTGAGTGTATGCCTGTTGGATGTCCTAGGCAGAAACTAAGCTATTGGACAACCTGGGCAGACACTAGTCTTTGAGGCGTCCTGGGAAGACACTAGTCTTTGAGGCGTCCTGGGCAGACACTAGTCTTTGAGGCGTCCTAGTCAGACACTAGTCTTTGAGGCGTCCTGGGCAGACACTAGTCTTTGAGGCGTCCTGGGCAGACACTAGTCTTTGAGGCGTCCTGGGCAGACACTAGTCTTTGAGGCGTCCTGGGCAGACACTAGTCTTTGAGGTGTCCTGGGCAGACACTAGTCTTTGAGGCGTCCTGGGCAGACACTAGTCTTTGAGGCGTCCTAGTCAGACACTAGTCTTTGAGGCGTCCTGGGCAGACACTAGTCTTTGAGGCGTCCTGGGCAGACACTAGTCTTTGGGGTGTCCTGGACAGACACTAGTCTTTGAGGTGTCCTGGGCATACACTAGTCTTTGAGGTGTCCTGGGCAGACGCTAGTCTTTGAGGTGTCCTGGGCAGACACTAGTCTTTGAGGTGTCCTGGGCAGACACTAGTCTTTGAGGTGTCCTGGGCAGACACTAGTCTTTGAGGTGTCCTGGGAAGACACTAGTCTTTGAGGTGTCCTGGGCAGACACTAGTCTTTGAGGCGTCCTAGTCAGACACTAGTCTTTGAGGCGTCCTAGTCAGACACTAGTCTTTGAGGCGTCCTAGTCAGACACTAGTCTTTGAGGCGTCCTAGTCAGACACCAGTCTTTGAGGCGTTCTGGGAAGACACTAGTCTTTGAGGCGTCCTAGTCAGACACTAGTCTTTGAGGCGTCCTGGGCAGACACTAGTCTTTGAGGTGTCCTGGGCAGACACTAGTCTTTGAGGCGTCCTAGTCAGACACTAGTCTTTGAGGTGTCCTGGGCAGACACTAGTCTTTGAGGCGTCCTAGTCAGACACTAGTCTTTGAGATGTCCTGGGAAGACACTAGTCTTTGAGGCGTCCTAGTCAGACACTAATCTTTGAGGCGTCCTGGGCAGACACTAGTCTTTGAGGCGTCATGGGAAGACACTAGTCTTTGAGGCGTCAAGGGAAGACACTAGTTTCTAAGGCATCCTGGACAGACATTAGTCCTGTAAGATATCCAGGTCAGAAACCAGTCTGTTGAATCTCCTAAGCTGGTAATTGGCTATTGGCAAGCCTAGACAGACAATAGTCTTTGGGGCATCCTAAGCAGACAGTAGTCTGTTAAGTTATCTTAGACAGACACTATTGTGTGGGACATGCTGAGCAGACAGTATTCTGTGGAACATCCTGGGCAGACATAATTCTGTGGAACATCCTGGGCAGACATAATTCTGTGGAACATCCTTGGCAGACATAATTCTGTGGGACATCCTGGGCAAACATAATTCTGTGGAACATCCTTGGCAAACATAATTCTGTGGAACACCATGGGCAGACATAATTCTGTGGGACATCCTTGGCAAACATAATTCTGTGGGACACCATGGGCAGACATAATTCTTTTGGACATCCTGGGCAGACATAATTCTGTGGGACATCCTGGGCAGACATAATTCTGTGGGACATCCTGGGCAGACATAATTCTGTGGGACATCCTGGGCAGACATAATTCTGTGGGACACCATGGGCAGACATAATTCTGTGGGACATCCTGGGCAGACATAATTCTGTTGGACACCATGGGCAGACATAATTCTGTGGGACATCCTGGGCAGACATTTTCTGTGGGACAATGGGCAGACTGTGGGACACCATGGGCAGACATAATTCTGTGGGACATCCTGGGCAGACATAATTCTGTGGGACACCATGGGCAGACATAATTCTGTGGGACATTCTGGGCAGACATAATTCTGTGGAACATCCTGGGCAGACATAATTCTGTGGGACATCCTGGGCAGACATAATTCTGTGGGACATTCTGGGCAGACATAATTCTGTGGAACATCCTGGGCAGACATAATTCTGTGGGACATCCTGGGCAGACATAATTCTGTGGGACATCCTGGGCAGACATAATTCTGTGGGACATCCTCGGCGTACATAATTCTGTGGGACATCCTGGGCAGACATAACCCCGTTGGACATTCTCGACAGCCACTATTCTATGGAACATCCCAAACAGACACTAATTTGTCGGACATCCTGGGTAGACACAAGTCTGTGGGACATCCTGAGTATATACTAGCATGTGTGACAATGGGACATCCATGGCAGACACTAGTATGTGCGCATCCTGTTTAGATACCACTTTGTGGGACATCCTAAGCAGGCATTAATCTATAGTGATCCTCAGCTGACACTAGTCTGCTGAGCATTCGGGGCGTGCACTGTTCTATTGGGCGAAACGAGCAGGCCACCATCACATGAGACATCCACAGCAGAGAGTAGTCGATGGGACATCGGTATACACGATTTATGGTGGTATCATTACTACTGATATTTAATTTTTTTTTTCTTGCAGTAGGTTTTAGACCTAGAAAGTATTTCCTTCCCTGGGCACAAACATTCCTGTACGTTCAAGCGACAATTACGTGGTACAGGAAGTTTTGATCAAGGCCTTTCTTGCTAACAGAAACTGCAAAAGAAAAACCAAACTGTGCTGAGCTGTTACCTGCACTATAGCCGAGTGTCGAATCCCTTTGATAATGAGGGCGTTGAGAACAATGAGCAGCAGTGCTGGAAGGAAAGCGTAAATGACGGCGTCCAGCCAGTACCAGACTCGCATGAACCAGTCGTAGTCGCCGCTGGGCTGACATTTGTAGTCCCCATTCTTGTCGATCATCTCAGAGGTGATGGCAAAGTGGCTGTTGAGTCCGAGTAGAACGATAGCGATCAACAACAGGCCGCCAGCGTGCAACCTTCTGTGGATGGTGGGAAAAGTTCACAAAAGCATAATCAATCAAACAATCAATCAATAAACAATCAATCTCCATGTCATTTACAGGATGACGCTCTCTTCACGGAACGCCTGAAAGTCTCCTTTCTCTAACCAAATCTTTAGCCCTCTGCGCTTTTATTGTCAATCAAGCTTCAACGTCTTGTATCCACGTTCGCAGAAGTCGGCCTCTGCCTCGACTTCTGTAAACTGAACCTTTGGTCAGTTCTCTATAGACCATCACAATAAAGACACGATTACAACAGAATCTCAGTCACAAAAGAAACTGCATAACAAAACGAACAGAACCAGAAACAATGATTTGATTAAATAGTCCTGAAAAGTATCATAACATCAGCCAGGAGATGAACTTTCCAAATAAAGTCAGTAAAGAACTGCAATCGATGAAGTGAAAAGCAAACAGAAAGGAAAGCATGATAAAAACATTTTCGACATTTTGGACCCCGAGTAAAATTAGTTAAATAAACCTGTCCTAAGCTATTGGCAGCTCTGAAGACCCTAATGTTTAAAACTACACCAACTAATCTCAAAAATAAACTTTCAAATATATACCTCTTTCCAATATACTAATGCTATAAACATATTGTCGTGGTACATTTTATTATTGAACTGAAAATTACTGAAAATTTTCTGAACTGTGAGATTGTGAAACTCTCCTAAATACTCATCCACGGGCAGAGATACTGACATGTGAAGCAAATACCGAAGAGCCTGATTTTAAAGAAGTACTGTATGTCATAACACGGCTTGAAAACAATAAAGCAACTGGTGCTGTTGGAATTGCAGCTGAACTTATAAACGAAGGTAGTCATGCATTACATGCAAAGACATATGAATTAATCAAACTAGTTTAGAAAACGGAGAAATTACCCACGGATGGAAAATTTCATTAGTAATACCCATTTTTTTAAAAAAAAAAGGGTAAATGTAAATTATAGAGGTATATCACTGTTATCTACAAGCTATAACATACTATCGGATGTACTGCCAAACAGACTAAAACCATACGTCGAAGACATATTGGGAGATAAACAATAAGGTTTCTGACAGAAAACATCAACAACAGATTAAATATTCGTTTCACGGCAAATAACAGACCAAAACTGGGAACATAGAAATGTATAAAATGTTTCTGTAGATTTCAAAAAAGCTTATTATAGTGCACTTAGAAGCAGTTTAAGGAAAACGAAAACAGTTAATTACCATGACCAAATTATGTATGGAAGACACATACAAGATAGTAACATTTAAAGGCAGAAAGTCAGATCTTTTTCAAATAATATCTGGTTTATAGTAAGGAGGTGATGCTCTGTCCATATTTCTGTTCAACTTGGCCCTGGAGAAAATTCTAAGGACATTGAAACAAGAATTTACTGTAGGAGAATCTCCAAGAATACTAGAATATACAGATAGCTTTGATATCGTTGGAGAAAATGAACTAGGGACGGTAAAGATCATGACTTTGTGAGAAAAAAAAAAAGCAGCTTAGAAAATGGGACTAGTTATCAGTCAAGATAAGACAGAATATATGAGAATAACATAACAGGGAAAAGCCACATACAAGTCGATAATATGAAAATCAAACGAACGGAAGTATTTGGGTGCAATCTTCAACTGCTCCAACATGCTGAAAGAAGAAATACATTCTAGAATACAATCTGGAAATAAAGTTGACTATGCCCTTCAACATCTGTTAAAGTCAAAGTGTCTGTCTCGCAACATCAAGATCGAAATTGAGAAAACTTTGATAAGACCAGTTGTATGGAAATAAAACTTGGAGCATAAATAAAAAGAGACAAAGCCTTATTGCAAATTTTCAAAAACAGTCTTATGACGAATCTTTAGACCCATTAAAGATATAAACAGCGGAGAGTGAAGAGTGCGAAACAGCGAGAAAATTTGCAATCTGTTTAAATCACGATTGATCACTGGCATCATGAGGTTTAATAGACTGAAACAGGATGGGGCATACTGAGAGAATATCAGATGACAGTGAGGTAAAATCTGTATACACAAGGGAGTCGAATGGTGGTAGACCACGAGGCAGACCAAGAAGACGATGGGGAGATAATGTCAAGATAGACCTACAAACACATGGTGCCACCAACTGGAAAGAGAAGGCCAACCAGAGAGATGGGTGGAGGCGGGTGATAACTGTAGCACTGAACCACAATGACTCGGAGTGCTGAAGCAGAAAAAGTCATTTTTTTTTAGTAAAAGAAATTATAAAGAGTGTTTACAAAATTACACAAATTATTTATTTCTCATAAGAGCTCTGCCACAAAAAAACTGCATTTGTGACTAAATAAAGGGTGGGTGGGGGGGGGGAGGGGTAATTTGATGTAACCCCTGCAAATTATGAGGCCCTAAGCTGCAGTTTAGTAAGCTAATGCCTAAATCCAGCACAGCAAGTCTGGGAGGTAAAGGCGATCCTATCTAACCCTTACAGACCCCTGCAAGATACACATAAATGATTGAGCAATGTCATTTAGCTAACTGGACCAGGTTGTTACCTCTAACTTACACTCGTATTTCTATCAATTTTCGAGTTAGCATAATATCGCAAACAGCAACATCGCCTGAACAACTCACACGGCAGGTCAGATATTGACATCATTGTTGTCTGTCTGCGCCACTCACACAGACATGTCTTGACTGACAACAGAGATCCCAAACACAACGTGGGATGTACAGATAAAGCTTCCAATTTATTTGGGGGAAAGCCTTCTTCGCTGAATAATGTCACATTTCCTAAAAACTTCCAGACATGTCGACAGACGGGCAAATACTTTGTCTGATCAGACTTTGAAGACATTCGAAACAGACTCCAGCAGACGCGAAAGTCGTGGTGTAATTCGGAGATTTTACGGCTAATCCCGACGATTTCCCACCAAGTTCAAGTGCAGACGTCATTCAGAACACGAAGCGAAAATAATGGCAGAAAATGACAAAATGAATGTTTGAAGACAGCATGTGTCAGTAAAGTAAACGGCCTTTTCCATGCCGTATGGGGCATACGGTGCTAAAACAATATTTTATAGACAAATCGGCACTAGATGGGTGTGATAGTCAAAATCACTCCGACCGCCTTTACTTCCCAAGACTTTACCTTTTACCCGTTTAAGGCTGAATCGGGAAACTGGAAACTTAAATTAAAGCAAGCTGTGGCTGGATTGTACAGTGAATGTTATGCAAAAAATCCATGACCACACAATACAGTTGATAATGTATCGATTTTCCCCACCTATCTTCAGCTTAATAAGGACCAATGCGAAACAAAGAGGAGAGGAGTGAATCAAAAACAGGTCATGTTTAAAAAAAAAGTATTAGAGTAACTGTCAATAGAGGACAAAACATAATCAAAATATGAAATGTAGATTTTACTGTACTAGTTGCACAAAATGAAAAAAAGATCATTGATATTTAGTTAATCATGTTTTCTCACACAGTGAGAAATTAGAGCTCGAACTCAAGAAGAGGAAAACAAAAAGTTGTGATCATCTCGGAGAAAGAAAAGAAAACAAAATACAGAAATATAACATCCAATAAAATGGAGAAAATCAATTAAAGGTGGATGGTTACAACTTCATTGTTACAGAGAGGCGTTGTTCATTCGTCCACCACAAGTGATGGGATCCACTCTTTCCTTCATCCGTCATGACACTGCAGTTGAATGTCTTGTGAGCGGAGGTGACATGGGTCCAATACGTGCCCGGAAGAGTCCTGGACAATGAAGACAGGGCACAGTGTTTGTAGACAAAGGGCCTATTTGAAGTCATTTTTTTGTGTGCCTGTCCTTCACTGTTTAGTTGCCCTTGTTCTAGATGCCTCGCAGATCGTTGCACCTTCTCGGATACATGTCAGATAGGCCTATAGTATTTTCTTTATGACCGTGGCTGCTGGGTCGACCCAGCCTTGAGTCGGTACCAAGTAAGGTCCTGGGAAGTAAAAACGGCCGTCGTGATGATGACCACTTCACCCATCTTGTACCGTTGGTCTATAAAATATAAGTCAAGGCCTATATACTCAATACGCTTGAAAGGCCTGGAACAGGGTCCTTGACTTTTGACTTGTATATTTTGACCTAGAGTGTGTCCTGACCACATCTTGATGTTGTCCGTCTATTTCAGTGTTCCGGTACCCTCACCTCTCGATCCATTATGGGTTTCACTATGTCATAACTGACGGTACAGGAGGCAGAAGACTGGGGATAAACAAGATTACAAATGCCACATGGATGGATACTAAAACGGAACACTGAGCCGGGAATGCATAGACTGACCAGCAGGTGCCACGGAGGTGGGAATTCAGCAATAAATTCAAGATAATGCTCGCTCGGAGGAGTTAATCATTTACACAGACGGTTTAGTGTCAAGAGGTAAAAGAAGTGCTTGGGGTTTCTTAGCAAAAGGTTAATGGGCAACGTTTGCTGCAGGAGAGCCTAGCATATGATACCACAACATCCAGCTTAAGAATAGAGATGGAGGCGGTCACTGCAGCTTTCCAATGGTAGAAAACACCAGACACACCCACACACACACACACACGTCGTGATTGTGGCTGACTCAGGAAGCATGCTGAGGAAGATCAGGACAGGCATGCTTCGTGCAGAGTGGCATGCTTCACTGCAGAGGGCACGGAGGAGGAGTTTTGTCTGGAATTTTTTTTTACCGGGGACGACGGTGTGTTGGGAAATAAAAAGTAATAAAGCAGATGTGGTTAGTGCCTTATACAGTTTGGAAGAGCAGATGGATCACCACAGTCTGGTGAGATTGATGCAGCGGGGAGTGACGGGAGGTTCTGGCAGAAGCTCGAGGCTCAGAGAAAAGGCAAGACGGACGTTTAATCAGAATGCTACTGGCATCATTGGTATCAGAACTTTTCGCTGACTGCTAAAGATGGGGACGGAGCCCTGATGGGAATGCGTCGAGTGCTGTGATGTCGGTTCTTAGAGCAATTCAACTCAACTCAAGTGTTAGGAGAACAAACATATACTAAATAATACTGTTTGTATATAAGCAGTTAACAAAATGAGCGTAAATTCATACCTGGTGCAGATGGAGCCGACCTTGAGCGGCAAGCAGATGGCCAGACATCTCTCTACAGTCATGGCCACCAAGAGCCAGTTTGCGAACTGGGAGGTAAAAGAGCCCAAAAACTGCAACACTGCACAGCCTCTGTTGCCAATGTTGACATCAAACTTGGTTAAAGAGAAGAAGAGAATTTTGCACAACAAACACACGTTGTCTACAAACGCCAGAGTGGCCACGTAGCGAGTTGGTGATGTAAACGGCTTCATACGAAGTATCGTCATAAAGCTCACAATATTCCCCGGGAAGCCAAAGGCGAACACGATCCACAAGTAATAACTGTTGAGGAAGTAAGCGACGTGGAAGAGAACGTATTTCTCCAGTTCGGGATCAAATTTGGTGCTGCGATTGCTGCTGCCTTGGTGGAGTGTTGCCAAGGTGCTGATGGTGGTGTCCCAGAGTGCATTGCTGACCTGGATGTGACCTGCCGTGCTAGGCGAAGTCATGTTGCTATGGATGCTGTCCAACAGTAGAGTGACCTCAGCGGATTGAGAATTGCCCTCGATGTTAAGTGCAGACGTCATCTGAAATGTAAAAGTAATTAATGACATCTCTTTTCTGGGACATGGGACAAAGAATGCTTTTCACAATGTTCCAGCATTTGATCCGGTCAGTAATATATTAGGGACTTGGAATGCTTGCCATATCAAAGAGTCAGCTGATGAAACTTGAATGCATAATTGCGGGTAATTCTGGGATGTACCAGATATACCCCTGTAGTACGTATGAGATTCATACTTGCACGGCCTACTACTGGAGATAGGCTCAAAGTTCTGCAAGCAAAGTCATATCTCAGAGTCAATACAGACAAGAAGCACCTTCTGCATTAAGCTCTAGGTAGAGTTAAAGGTCACAGACGGGAAAGACGAAGGACTTGGATGACACAGGCTGATGACACAATTAGATATGTGTGCAGGCTTGATCAATTTTGCTGAGGAGAGGAGTGGGTCAAAGTTTCCCAGCAAGAATCACACTTGTATAGGGTTCTTATCACTTTAGGACGTAAGTGCAAGGGTTGACCAGCTGGTGCTGCAGAATCAGAAGTTCAACAAATGATTCATGACGATCCCCGCCCAGTTGGAACTGTGTGGAATAACAGAAGAAGTGCATGATGGTTCATAGACGTCGCTGAGTGCAACAAAGCAGGGCATACGATATCACAATATCTGGTTTGGGAATGGAGGTGGCGGCAGTCACTGCTGCCTTCCGCTGGCTTGAGAATTAGTTGTACACATACATCGTAATAGTTGGCCGTCTTTCGTAAGTAAAAGTATAGAACCTTTTCACGCGTTTAGGCGCATCAGGCATATGGAAAGAGCACCAATATTTTTACAGACTAATTGGCACTAGGTGGATAATGTGGTCAGCATACATCTAACACATTCTAAAAGTGCCGATCAATGCATAGCCTGTTTGTTTAGTATATAGAGTATTGTTACTAGAGATAGATCATGGAACTGATGCGGATGTCCTGTAGTCTTCTGAACTTAACACTCTATCCACTGATTTGCTGGACACATGTAGGCGTGGTTAGAATACCATCACACATCGTAGATTCATATGGGATCATGGCAGCCATTGATGGACAAATGTGGCGGCCAATTGAAAGACTTTCAGAACCAGTGATCATGTTAGACGTGTTTGACAGAAAATTACACAATGGCCAGCACTACAAAACGGCCGGGACACTGCTCTCATTGAGAGACAATACAGTATTATGTGTGTGTATATATATCAGGCAAAGTTAGGTTTGCACAAATGATTGGTTGTAAACAATACACAAGATTATGTACATGGTAATCTCTTTGTTATCAGTGCAGTTACTTTTCTAAATCAGTGGAAATCATTGCTGGAGGTAGAGTGCTTGTGTTGTGAGGGAGATCTAGTCATATGATAGAAATCCAGGTGTGATGTATTGAACTAAAATGCTAGAGAAGAATTCTTAGAATACCATGGGCTAGGAAGAAGAAAAAAAAAGGTAGACATCCTTGCATGAAATGAATATCAAGGAGAACTGGCTCATAAACAGCATCCTCTTCAAAAGCTGGTGTCGTATAAAAGCATCAACTCCCCTACCCCAATAGACCCGAACACAGTCTAGACACTCCTCACTAATTGGTGTATCTATATATATCGGATAGTCCTTCCGTAGATATATAGTTCGTTTGATATTGGGGAGTCCAGATGTGAGGAACATATATAAATCACTCCTAAATTAATCCTTTTTGGCGTATAGTGTCAGTATGAATGATACGACACGTTTTCAGCGCCTGTTCAAGCCTAATAGTTTGACCGCTTCACTGCGAGCATGAGCCGTATCCTTGCCTAACGGCTGTAGTCAGGGACTAAGAATCGGCTATCTTCCGAATAACGGTCCCAAATTATCGAGGCAGAAAATATACCCTAACAGGTTTGACAGCACTCAAGGTGCTAGCAGCAGCTGATATTGAACAACGTCTACTTTTCCTTCTCTATCAAGGGCTTGTGCTTAGCGTCATTGACTATGGTCTTGGCCTCCTCACTGTCAGCAAAACCCAGCTAGAAAGACTGGACCGAGTACAGAATGAGGCCATGAGACTCATACTCGGCTACACAAAAGACACCTCCTTCAACGCCATGCGTTATGTCCTGGGTCTGTCGACTAAGACTAGCAGATACAAAGTGGCACAGGTCAAGGCTTACATGAGGGTATCGGCAGACGTTAACCACCCATTACACAAAGCTATACACGACACAAAAGGAACGCGTCTCAAAAGAGGCCGCTCTTGGATGGCAAAGGCTGAGGACTTAATCCAGCAGGTATGTGACCTAGACGTGATCAGCCACGGAAAAGAATGGATGAATACACTAGTAGACATGCATGGCATCTCTAAGGTTGTCATCACATTCGGAAGGTCCTGCAGGGATCAAATTCCTGCGGCCGTAGACACAGAAGTAAGGGGACTGATGGATCAGCATTTAGACCCAGAAGATACCATCATCTACATAAATGGATCCGTGAAGCGCGGATCAAGGTCAGCATGGGCATACACAGCGCAAAGAAAGGGGAAAACAATACTTGAGGACAGCGGCGCTTACCAGACAACCACGTCAAGCATGACAATGGAAATAGCCGCTGCTTCTAGAGCTTTAGCATGGGTATCCGAGCAAACCGCCACACAGGTAGTAATTGTCTCAGACTCAAGGAATATGCTTCAGAAGATAGCAACAGGCAGTATGCGCTCTGAATGGATAGAAAGCATTTGGAAATCGCACTTAACCTCCGTAACCTGGATCTACACACCGGGTCATGCGGGCGTGAAGGGAAATGAGCGAGCAGACCAACTGGCAAGCACTACACTGATGATTGCGGGAAAAAGTATGGACAGAGCAGATATAGTCAACGCTGTACGAACTGGGCTAGTGGAGAATGAGGAATCACTGACACTAACACGATTGCGTGACATGGGAGTTAAGCATGGTGATGCACCTCTTTGCCGTCTTCGAGACCGAGAAAGGAGACAATATAACCAGCTTCTCATGGGGACAATTAGTAGAAGTACTTTGGAGTGGCTGCTGATTCAAAGAACTGAGCACGCATGGGTATGCCCATGATAACAAAACATAAAAAAACATCTTAGTAGGGAGTCGGCAGTCCGAAACCCAAGTTCAAGGTGTCTCCTTCGTGCCAAAGAACTGCATGGCTGTTGGGTGAACAGTCGTTAACGATGGCAGGCAGGTCGTTGTAGGGGCGACGCCTGCTGGTGGATGTAATGTCCTAAGTCCCTTCCCCAGCTAATAATGAGGGTACTGCTGGGGTGACCGTTTATTAACCCTCATATAATGCTTCCGGTCAAAATGGACGCTAGGCACGGCAACTGTTTTTTTTTTAAAGCCGTGGCAAATGTTTTTTTTCTCTCTGTCAGACGGTGGCCGTTGCATTTTTGCTCCATTTGTAGACTGAAAGGATGCAGCTTCGTCGCCCAGCTTCTGAGTTGAGTGCATGGCGTGACACTGTGAGCAACTGTGGGGTGACCCGTTTGCTATGAAGCTGAAACTAGGACTACCAGATTACCAGATTACCAGATACCCTAACAGGGCCTCAGTCACGTGTCAATTTCCGCCACCGCCGAGTGTACCCCAAACGCAGCCCACGCTGCGTGGATTGGAGCTAAACTAGATGGCTAGGACTCAAGGGAAAATAAAATGAGGGCAGTTGCTGGAAATGCGGTAGCTGCTGCTCGTGAAACCCAGCCGCGTGAGCGGCGTGTGGGATACCCTCGGCGGTGGCGGAAGTCGTCGGAAGTGCGCAATTTAAGTTCTCTTTGAGAACATTATGAACTATTGTTTTGTTTATCTTTGTTCTGCATTTCGTCTTCCTTTAACCACAGGTAATTTATTACATTATGTTTCTTTTCACAAGATTTCTTAGTCTTGGAAAAAAGTTGTCTCTGATGGAATCATTTGTCATGGTCAGAAGTGTATTCATGTCTTGTCAGACCTACGGTTGTTAATATAATCGACTGTGTTAACGTTGTTTACCAGTCTAAGGGCAATATTAGTAATGAGGATGTCTGGCCGAGTTGTACCCAAGAGTTTGTATTAACCCTGAGGAGTCAAAGCTCGAGTCACCTCATTCCTGAGATAGGCTGAATGTATGTTTGAACCGAGGGTTTGGCCTCTAGACAAACGATGGCCAACATTCAGAATACCCCTATCTCAGAGTACCTGAGGATTCGGGAAAATAATTCTGAAGTAAAGCTACGCGACGAAACTGCCATACGACAACTGGGGTATTTTAGACACTTCAAGCGTCTTGTTGGTCGGGAGAGAACGGTGATGGAGGCTGCAGCTTCCAGAAAACGATTCAGAGGCCGACCTTCGCGATAGTGGATACAGGACATTGAAGAAGCACTGGCTATTAAAGCACAGACAGATAGAGGACTGGCTAGAGATAGAGATAATTTCAGGGCTGACGTAAAGAGAACGACGTTCTGTGAAGGAAACGCTGGTATATATATTTATATAAACCACACACACACAAAAACCTTGTGTCTGCATATCTAAAACATTCGCTCACTAACTCACTTACTTTCCCACCCAAAGTTTTTTGATCCAGAAACCACAAATTGTAAACCTTTTGACTCGGTTGATATCGCAACCCTTCGGCCTTGATTCCATGACAGATACCGTAAATTTGGGAAAATATGTGGCTTTCCTGCCTACTTCCGAGCGTGAATTTTCACCCGGTCACCACGTAGTTGGTTTAAAACGAGCTTAGCTAGCCCGCCGGGCACCCAATTTTATAAGACCACTAAATAACAACAAACGTTCTTTTCAACACCTATGTGTAAGAAAGTCAACATGTTTGATTAGTCATCTACCAACCTGTTTCTCCTGGGATCGTATCCTCTCAGTCAATTACAGTAAACCTCCTTTGTTGCCAGTCGCAGAAACCTCTTCAGCA